CTGTGAAAAACTTAGCTACTCTGATCAAGACAGTGATCCAAGAAAATTCCAAAGGACCAATGATGAGAAATTCTATCCACTTTCAGAGAGAGAACTGATGAACTCTGAGTACACATTGAAGCATACTTTTTAAACTTTCTTTATTTTTATTGTTTTATTTTGTTTGTATTTTCTTTTGCAACATGGCTAATATGGCATGATTTCACATGTATAATGGAAATCAAAGTGCTTGCCATCTCACAAAGGGGGGAAGTGTCAGAGGAAGGGATAGGATTTGCAACTCAAAATTTTAAAAAAAAGATTTAAAATTTAAAAAAAGTTTTAAAATTTATTTTTAGTTTTCAAAATTCACTTCCATAAGCTTTTGAGTTTTTAATTTTCTCTGCCTCCCTCTATACCCCCCTCTCCAAGATGGCATGCATTAGTCATGTTGTAAAGAAGAATTAGAACGAATAGGAGGAACCACAAGAAAGAAGAAACAAAACAAAAAAAAAAAGAGAGAGAGAGAAAAAATTGTATGCTTACATCTGCATTCAGACTCCATAGTTCTTTCTCTGGATGTTGATAGCATTTTCCGTCTTGAGTCTTTTGGAGTTGTCTTAGATCCTTGTATTAAATTTTTTTTTCATATAATTGGGAAATATTTAACAAAATTTTTTTTTTAAAGTTGTACAGTGTAAATACTTTATAATGGTATAACTCAAAATTTTTTCTTTCAGACTCTCAACTGAATTGTATATTTTCTTCTTTTGTTTGATAGATAGCAAACAATAAAGATGCTTTGAGGAAAACCTGGAATCCAAAGTTTACATTAAGGAGTCACTTTGATGGAATTCGAGCACTTGCTTTCCATCCAGTTGAGCCAGTTTTGATAACAGCATCTGAGGATCATACATTAAAAATGTGGAATTTGCAAAAAACAGCTCCAGCAAAAAAGTGAGAACATTCTGTTTCATTTTTGTTTGAACACTTTGTTTGAACATGCTCCCACAAATATAATTCTTGATTTTACTAATAGCAAAGACCTTTCTTGTAAATACTTTGTGATTTTTTTTTTTGGTGAACATTTTATTGTGTTCTTTTGATAGCATTGTAATAGCATAGTGGAAATGTAATGGATAGCTGGGAAAGAAATTATAATTATCTCTTAAGGTAATCATTTTGAAGGTTTAATTATCTGGATCATATTCCTTTACATCTTGTCTTTTTTCTGGTTATTCATTCACGCTGCATTTGGTGCTAGCCTTTCCTCGTCTGCCTTTACCATGCTTTTAAACCTTCTACTTAAGATATAGCCACTGTCTTCATTACCATGATTATCTGATGTTTACCAGGAAATTATGCTGTGCATAATTGTGCCAGTTTCCCTAGTAATGATTTTGACAGAAGAAAAGGTATCATTTCTATTCTTCAAAGTACTACTGGGGATGCTCACTTTTTGTTGCCAGCTAAGCCTCAGAACTTTTAGGTACAGCATGCCTAGTGTCAAATACTCAGCATTGATAGAAAATTCTTACTGCAGTGAGTGAGACTAATCCATGAGTTCATGTTTGTAAGCCCAAAAATAAAAATAAAAATCCATGTTTGCAACAGTGGACTGAAATATAATCTTCAGTTAAAAATATTAATTGCCTCCTTCCCACCCTCCCTCAGTTTCTTTGAGAGAATTAGTGGAACTCCTGAAGAATTTCTTGAATGAGTGCTGTGGTGGCACCTATGAGAGAGTATGTTACAATTGCTCATTTTTCTCACAGGAGAAATTTGCTTATATCAATTTGCTAAACATCTAGCACACTCATTATTTTCTTTAGTATTGTGCCTACTTTTTAAAAAGTATTAACTGAATACATTAAGACTCTTAGAGGAATACAGGTTAAAATTCATGAAAAATTTTTTGTTTCTAAACATTTCAGTGACTTTTTTCTTTCAGCAAGATCCATTATGTCCTGAAGATCTGTTGCATGTGGATAGATGTAAACAAATTGAATTAAAATAGGTCATTTTCTTCCTTAAAGGCATTAAATGGTAGGATGAAGGAGGTTAAGGAAAACTTCGCTGAAATTTGCTGCCTGATTTGTTTTATGGGCAAGGACTCTAGCATAGCACCTTAAGTTGATAAAATGCTGTTTGACTAGATCATAGCTTATTGGTTTTATTTTCATCTAGTCCAGTTTATTTTGGCAGAGAGAATTTTTTTTTCCATGAAGGGCCAGGAATAGTGCCTTTGATTATTTTTCCAATTTGTTTTTGAGTTATAATGAAGTTTGAATCATCTAAGGGAGTAGGCTCAGTGTAAGATTCTCATTACTACTGATTAAAACACTTAATCCAAAATGAGGGGACATATAGTTAATAATAATATAGTAATAACATTTATACAAAATTATTAGTGTTTATTTGTGTAGATGGGGGAGAGGGTACTAGACAAGTAACTTAGAGTGACCTGTATAGATGTATTGAAGGAGTTGGAGCCAAATTAGTTGGAGGTTTCTTTTGGACATTTGATATTTCCAAAAGGGACTCAGCTAAATTTTGGCATGTTAATCACTTAACTAAGATCTGGTTTCATTTGAATGTGGTATAATTGCTTAAAAGGAACAATGTCTTTGACTGATTGATAAATCACCCAGTATTTATTAAGCACCTATTATGAGCTAGGCACCCATGGAGAGGAAAAAGGAAGAAGAGAATAAGCATTTTTATAGCACTCAATATGGTAGACATTCTGCTAAACATTACATTCAAAAAAATTATCTCATGTGATCCTCACAACAACCCTGAATGGTAGATGCTATTATTATCCTCATTTTATAGTTGGAAAAGGCAGCTAGGTTGGGAAGTAGATAGAGTGATGGGCCTAGAGTTAGGAAGATTCCTCTTCCTGAGTTCAAATCTGGTCTCAGACACTTAGTAGTTATATAACCTTGGGGAAGTCACTTAACCCTGTTTACCTCAGTTTCCTTATCTGTAAAATGAGTTGGAGAAGGAACCGGGTCCCAATCTCTCAGTAGCCAGTAATCCAAAAGCTTGGTTTCTCACAGTTAATATACAATTTGGAGGCAATAAAAAACAGGAAATACAGAATTATAAAGATTGAAACATCTGGTTTCTCAGTGAGGAGGGGGGCCCAGGAGACACTGAGTTGAGAGGGAGGGGAATATTCTTGTGACATTTTTTGAGTCAGGTGACAGTGGGGCAGGGGAGTACTCTTGTGAAACCTTCTAAATTAAGTGACTTACATGGAATTAAAACTTAACTTCATAAAAAAGGGAGTAACTAATGCTAATTATTTTTAATGTAACATTCCCTGCTTTGATACCGAGGCTCTTAACCCTCAGCATCACTTATTTAAATGCTTTAGCAAACAGGGATTTCTGATTGGAATGATATTCTACCTTAAGAGGCACCAAAGGGTTGGGTGACAGGCACAAAGAGTACAAGCAAAGTCATAATCTTATATAGCCCGTAAGGAGACAGACCTTATTAAATAGACTCTGTAGGTAAATTAAGTACTGCTACAGATCAAACTACTTGAAGGGTTCACCAGAGACTAATTTGAGAGGGGAGATTTACATGTCATCAAGGTAACCATGAGAACTCAGCAAAGAAATATCACAAAACGAAAAGCTGAAGCAATACAATAACAATCATCAATATTAAATAATGTTAAGTCTCCTTGTAACCTAGTAAACCCGCTATCTATATCCATTTAATTGTCACATTTCATCTTGAATCCCAGATGTCCCAAATAGCTGTCTGGTCCCTGGAAACATCTTCCCTTGGACATTCTGGAATAGGTCTTGTTCTCAGGGCTACTCTGAAGGGAGCAGTTGATCTAATTGATCTGCTTCTCTGGTTCCAAGTCACTTGCAGAGATTTCTAAATAATTGCCCATAACGAGGCTCAGTATAATTTAATAGAATCTCCTGAATTTGCTTTTCCAGTAACTAGCTCATGTAGTGAAAACCAGCTCAAGCCTTATGGTTCTGAACCTATTAGCAACAGGGCTATAAGAACATCACAATAGGAACCCATAATTCACCTGAATTGTCAGAGGATTTCCATTTTTACATACCACTTGTGTCTATCTTTACCTAAATCCTGTACCTGATACAGACATTGCTGTCAATAGACCAAGGAAAAAATCTTTAAAAAAAAAAATCCACGGGGGTCCAACTTGGAAAATGAGCCCTTCTGTCTCTTAAGATTAGACAGAGACTTCAAAATAGTAAAATAATTTCACTTTCTTTGGAATTATCAATGTAATTTTATATGTAAAATCTTTAATCCATTTTTGAGAACTTGTTTACTAAAACCTAGTCAAGGCCTGTATATCCTGTTAGAAACATTTGGAAATCAGTCATGTTTGTGTGTGGGTGTGTGTGTGGGTGTATCCTAGTTCTTAGAGAAAACAGTCTGATCTGATCCTATTGCTTTATCAACATTTACTATATTTAATTAGAAAACTTACATCTTTGTCTTATTCCCCCCTTTTGAGGATATTATCCGCATATCACCCTGAAAAAATGAGATACTTCAAGGACCTAATCTTATACATGAATATCTTTTAGGATATGGAATTGACTACTAATTCAGATTGAAAACAATAAGATTTTTCATACTTGTCTCCTGTTATAGTAGCCCAAATGTTTTAGCATTAATCTATTAATGAATAGATTTAATATTGCAACAACAAAATGTCTAAAGTTCATTTGCCTTAATTATAGAAATTTGCTATGAAAGGAAAGGGAAAGGTATGGTTATAACTATATCAAGGCTATCCCTTTGAGGGCACAGACTGACCTGACATGAGCCACAACAGGGTAAATCTCCCTTAACTCTGTTTGATTCCAGGCAAAAGTCATAGTTAACAGTCAGTCATACAGAAAATTCCATGTCGTTCACAAGCTGTCATAGCCAGGCTCAGAATTAACCAGGTGGGAAAATTCCCTTTCTGAAAGGAAATAGCATAATGGGGGAATGAGTCAAGAGGATCCTACCTTAGCCTACCCCAAGGTTGTCCCTTAACTTTTCCCAGGAACAGACATCTCCCTGTAGCAGTTCCTGTAACACATTCACTTTAAGCAGTACATGGCATTTCCCTTGAATGTGGTGGACTGCTGGCCTCATGACAGTTCTGACAACCATACCTGAAATAAAAATTTAGAACAATATCAAATTATAATCCTAGAGATTTTTCCTGAAATAGCAAAATTTCACTGATCACAACTTAGGGTTAAGTTATTATTATTATTTTTCTCATGTTGCAACAACAGTTAATGATGAGCACAGAGAAGGACATCTTATTTATTCTTCATTTATAATTTAAGAATAATTACATACTAGAGTTTCACATATACTTTGAATACATGATTTTGTTATTGTTATTCAGTCATTTCAGTTGTGTCTAATTTTCATGATCTAATTCTTCATGGGGGTTTTCTTGGCAAAGATACTGGAGTGATTTGCCATTTCTTTCTCAACATGATAGTTGACTCCAAACCCCCAGAAAATTGCTGGCTATGAGTCTCCAATCCTATTCACCACTAAGGCAAGAATGAAATCTTTGAATCTATTATCTGTTGTTACAAGTTGGCTCAAAGACCTACCTGCAATACAGATTATTAATTAGTACAATTTCATAATTTGCATAAGTCATAGCCAAATAATCTGTCTGATAAAAATCACTCTTTATTATGAGCAAACTAATAAGTTTCCTCACTTTGGCTGGGAATGGTCCCAGTTTCTTAAACTTCAGTACTTTAGAATGTTACAGTCCGTGGTCAACAGGGTTGATAAAATTTTATGATCTTGTCCAAGTAGAAAGTCCCAAGGAACCTCACGGATAAGGACAACTTAAAAGATTTTTGCTATATATTTTTCTTAAACAGTAAGTTATTATTATCCATTTTAAAGCAAAATATACCCAAATTAAATATATAACAATTTTTGAACAAAATCTGGTCAAATCAAATCTGGATTTATGTAACATTTAAATCTCAATTTTCCCAAGGACCTACTGTTTTCAGTTAGCTCATGTTCAAAAAAATCATGATAGCTCTCTCCCAGCTTCTCATTACTTTTTCTTAAGTCCGCAAAGAGCCAAATCAATTTCTTTGTGTTCATAATCTAGCCCCAATTTTCCCCAAAGGTTTTTAGTTGTAACTGTAGGAAGGTCGAAGAAGACAGGACACACGGGCTTATTAAAAAATAATTCAATGCTGCAAACAAAAAGAATAACAAAATGAAGTTTCTCATATCCTTCTTATCTTAATGGGATCAAAACCTCTTTCCTAAAACTCAAAAACACTTTTCTTTCAAACTCTTCATTCATACTCAGTGTAAACAGACTTTCTTTAGCTTTTCTGCCTGTTCTCGTCTCATCTCTACTTGCTCAAATTTTCTTTTTTCCTTTCTTTTTATATCCCTCCAGTGGACTTTAACTAAAGCCCTTCACAACTGCATCTTTCTTTTTTCTTTCTATATTTTGATCTGACACTTTTCTTACTTTCTTCTGTTTAATTGCTCTGGTCTTTATTTCCTTATCATATCTGAGGCTATCTATAAAATTAATCTTTACTCCATTGTTTTTTTTTTTCTTATAACTTAGCACAGGTTTTTTACTACACAAAAGCAGTGATTGCAATATTTTTGCCTTTGGGGTTCTTAAAAGCTTACAAATACATGGACTGTTCTAATAACTTCTGATGATTTTGCCACTAGTTTACTTAAGTTCTGTTATTCACAGAAAAAATATAGTGGTAACACCAAACATTTTTCCAAATTAAATTTTACTTACTTTTAGTTGCTCCCTGATTTTAAAATAAGCTTCTAGAAGAGTTACTAATAGCCAGTTTCTTAAATACCAGATAAATTTATACTGAAAATGCTTTTTTTCCCCTTCAATTTGGAACTTCACTATACTACTTTCAAACTAGCTTTGGTTCTCTTTAATCAGTGAAATTACCTTTCCCCTTTGTGCTAAAACAGTAAATTGGTCACTTTACAAAAAGGAGAAAGTGATAAAGGGTCTAAGTGCTGTTTCCATGTACCATTCTCAGAGTTTTATTCTTATTTTTCCTTAAAATAAATTATGCAGAGTTGTGCCCCCAAACTCACTAAAACATTTTAGGATTTAAAGAAACATTTAAACGACAATTTGGAAATTTATAGTGGAGAAAGCAAATTTGTTCTCTAATTAGTTTTATAATGCCATAAATTCCTGCAGACTGAGGACAAAGATTCCTTTCTTATCTATATCTCTTGTCTGTCTCCCTAACTTGGTTAGTGTTAGGAAGGCAGAGAAAGACTTCTATTCTGAATACTCAGAAAAGTTTCTCAGAAAGGTTTTCACTTTTTACATTCTTCTTCCACATAAAAATATAAACAACACGCAAGAGAAGCATAGTGAAGGATTTAATCAAAAAGTCACTGTGTACAATTTTCTAAAAGTAATCTCAGAACCTTTAATATGCAGTCAGTAATTGAAGATCCCTTCTTCAGGCTTGTAAAAATATATTTTTTTAATATATTTTAGAGCAATCTTTTGTATATGTATGTTTATATTTTTATATATTTTATACCAATCTTTTTTATTTTCATATATTTTAAAGCAGTCATTACATAATTTGAGAGCTCTATTCTTAGTCATCCTTGTGAGAAGTTTCCCATATTTCCAGGCCAACCTTCCCTAAGTAGGTATCCATTAGCTTAGTAAAGCTTGTTACCATGCCTCCTTCATGAGGGAGCATTCACTTAACTTTCTGGATGTTGATTCAGGAGGAGATGGAAGTCTAGGGGTGGTGAACCAAAGTACTTAAGAATGTCCCTTCAGCTAAGGGCCTGTGGTCACATGGAATCTCACAGTCTCAATCCCTTTGTGGTCACTGAAATTGTTATGATGGAATAAAGAGATTGAGTAATTACATCCAGGTAACTATTTGGAAAAGGTTGTAAAACAAACTGGGTCCAAGGCTCTCAATTACCAACAACTCAGAAACTTGGCTTTTCATGGTTAATATACAATTTGGAGGGAATGAAAAACAGGAAACACAGGATTATAGGGATTGAGACATCTTGTTTCTCATTGGGGAAGGTGCTCGGGAGACACTGAAGTCAGAGGGAGAAGGATATTCTTGTGACATTCTTTAAGTTAGGTGACAGTGGGGAAGGGAAATACTCTTCTGAAACCTAAATCAGGTGACTTGCATGGAGTTGAAATTTAACTTCACAAAATGGTGGATAAAAGCAAAATGGAGTCACTAATGCTGATTTTTTAAATGTAACATAAAACAAACATATATAGGTATATACAAAAAAAAATTCTGGTTGATTTGTGAGGAGGAGGACACACTAGCATCTGGGATCAGTCATTCAGGAAGCATTTATTAAACACCTACAATGGGCCGAACATAGTACTGGATAATTGTGATACAAAGATGAAAGGAAATAGTTCCTCACTGCAAGGAGTTTATAGACTCCCCTAGGGAGGTGACACATATGGTTATAGGTATATTACAAAACATGCAGATAGATACAAGATAATTTTAGGAGGAAGGCACTAGTAGCTGAGGAAATAAAAAAAATGTATCATGTCAAATGTAAAATGCTTTGTAAGCCTTGAGCTGCTATTTAAATGTCAATCATCATTATCATCTGTTTATATCATATTACAGTACATAATGAGTGTCAACTGGACTTTGTTTCTGATTAACCCAGTCTAGGTTTGGGTTTATTTTTTAAGTGAAGTGGATCTGTTTTAAGACTACTGTTTAATTCAATCAAAATTACATTCATAGTATTGGTTAGTCTATAAACATGTCAGAAATTGTGAAAGACAAAAAAAACCCGTTCTCAAGGGGTTTTCTTTCTGTTAGAGAAACAACACGTACATGGATATATACAAGCTGTGTAAAATCAATACCGCCTAATTTGGGAGGTAGGTAGCAGGAGATGGAATGCTTTGAAGAGAACTAGGAATTCTAAGAGGTAGAAGTATATTGATATGTGTTCAACTATTTTTTCCACCTGTATTAAATCCCTCTTAGTGTTTGAATGGAAACTAAATGTAACATCACAGTCTTACCCATATAGTACTGTGAACCTTTTATATTTGGGGTTGATTGTGTTAAAAAAAAAAGATAAACAAATTTGATTCAAGTGGATATTATGCTCAGTTTAAGAGGTTAATTCATTTGTATCTTTGTTTGAAGCTATACATATATGTCTTATAATAGTAACTAAGGTTTATTTATTCATCTACTTATATTTATATGTCCAGATCTTTGCCTCAGTATAAAAAACTCCTAGTATATCTCCCTCCACCAGTTTATATTAGCAGTTCATCTGTAACCTAGTCTTAATTGCCTAGCAACACTGAGATGTGGCTTATGTCTACACAGCCAGTGTCAGAGGCAGTAAATTCAAATCTTAAATCTAAAGAATCCTCTCTATGCATTGTACCATAGAACAGTGGAAAGGGTATTTTGGCAGTTAGAGGATCTAGGTTCAAATCTTCCTGCTGACTCTTACTACCTGTCTGACTTTGGGCATGTCACTAAATCTTCCTGGGCTTTAGTTTCTCCATGTATAAAAAGAGGACGTTGAACTAAGTAGCCTCTCAGGTCCTTACCAGTTCTAGTTCTCTCATCCTATATAACTTGATATTTATATATTGTTTTTAAGTTGGCAAATTACTTCATAAGATACATTAGGGAATAATTACTACTGTGCCAAGTAGTATGCTAAGTGCTTTTTTTTTTTAAAAATTTTTAGGCAATTGGGGTTAAGTGGCTTGCCCAAGGTCACAGAGTTGGTAAGTGTCAAGTATTTGGTCTAAGGTCAGATTTGAACTCAGGTCCTCCTGATTTCAGGGCCGGTCCTCTATCCACTGCTCCACCTAGCTGCCCCTATGCTAAGTACTTTTACAAATATTATTTCATTTGAGCCTCACAACAACCCTGGGAAGTATGTGCTGTTATTATCCCCATTTTACAATTGAGGAAGCTGAGGCAAACAAGGTTAAGTGGCTTTCCCAGGATTACACTGCTAGCAAGTGTGTGCGTCCAAATTTGAACTAAAGTCTTTCTGGCTCAGGCCCCAGTGCTCTATCCAGTGTACCATCAGCTACCTCTATCCTTATCTGATTCAA